TATCACTCTGCTGCACATGTCTTTGATAAGCCTGACATTGTTTTCTGGTAGCAGCCTCTTTCTCATATTCCACCAGAATGCTATTTGTTGATGATTCGGTCAACAACTTCCTCAATATTTAGGAACACATTGTGAATGTTCCGTCAACGATCTCTGTACTTTGCGTGGACTGATTTGTGAACGAAGATGGCATCCGTGGTTGACTGGGCTGGCATAAAGCCAAATTGGTCCACGATAATGCGGACCCCTTTCCTAAGTCTTTTAATATGGCTTCACTGTGTAACTAAACAATTTAATTCCCAGGAAGTTTTCATAGGTGAGCACATCGCTTTCATTTTGTACGCTGCCATCAAAATACTCTGCCTCTATGATTCTGGCATCTCCCACATTCCATCATTTTGTTGAATAGCGCATAGAGCCAAGCCACGCCTTCGTGCCCCGGTGCCTTTCATGCTTCTATTCTTCTCGTTTCGAAGGCAGCAATTTGAAACATCTTATTATTCGACGCATTATCCGAATTTAGCATTGTTGCATTGGTATTAAGATCTTCTTTTAGACATCCTCACGTAATTTTTTTATTTTCCCTTCTTCACACATTCTTTCCCAGATCTCGTTTGTTGAACATCTCAGATATCTACAGCTTCCTGAAGTTTCTCGTTAGATGCACATGCGTGAATTTGGACGAAGGACGACCTAGAAAAATATCGATTTTGAGACTGCACGATGATTAATAAGCAGCTCTGGCAAGATATGCATATGTTAAGATATGCATTTTGGAACACTTCATATAAGATTCCTTTGTTCTGTGTGTCTGTTCTTGTAAAGATTTCCTATAGGCTTGATTTCGACGTATTTGCCTAAAGTGTTCCATGAGAAAACGCATGACGTAATCGAATTTCAGGTATTAACTCTTCCATACGTTCTTTGGTGCCATTTTCAGCAAAGGAATAGTCAGTGTATTGCAAGAAATAGTCCCCTTGATTGCATTGTATGCGTTGAATAAATCAATGCCCTTCTTTTCGCAATTTGAGTCATTTAGTCTTTAAAGACCGTACACAACCAATAAGTGGCTACTGCATATGCACGCTATACTTTGCTTTGGTGTTAATGTTGTCAGTGTTACTTCTGTTTAATGTCCTCATGGAACTGTTTACATCTGATTTCGTTTATTGTTCTGGACTTCCATGTTTACATTGTTGCAGTTTATTGACCTTGTTTGTAATCCGCCCCTTTCTTCGAAATACATATTTTGACACTATTTCCTTTACGTTATTTGCAATTTAAAATGTTTTATTATCGTGTCCAATTTTGTAATTGTTATGTTTCAGTTTTGCTTAATTCATTATTTTTATTCAGCTATTGGTGGTATTCAAAACTCGATTTGTTTAACAGGTTCGAATTACGGCTGACGAAGAAGGCGCCGTTACATTTTTTCAAAATCGTAGAATTTTCAATTATTTCAACCGCGCAACAAGAACCATAGAATTTGAGACTAGGCCTCAACAGACATTGAGCTTCTTCAATAAAGTTTAATAAAAACAATTGTAATGTTGTAAGTCTGTTACAATAATATAATACGCAGATGAGACACAAAATCCCAGTTCCTAAAATTTGTCTTACTGTTAATGCTGGAAAGCAAAATTTTTAGACAATCTTACTCGATAAGTAGGTAAAACGTCCTGAAAATAATCATTCTTAGGTCAAAAATAGGTGTTGGGTCTTACCAGTGAATTTAGTCAAAGATTTATCTGACTCCAGCAAACTTACTGGATATCATTGTCAGCTGGATGCCAAAGGAGCAACAACTGTGGTCTGCTATGACGTTTAGCGCTTGTTCACCAGCTGGCCACTAAAATATATCTTCAACGTTGCAGAAAGGAAGCTGGAGAGTGATGCGAAGTTGGCGAAAACGACAACGCTAGCTTTTAAATCCGTTTTCCACATTCTACACCCTGACGAATTGTCTCATACACTACACCGTTGCAGATTCTTCGGTGAAATACAAGAACAAACTAACTGTTGACCTTTGGGTTCTCTGTTGTTTCCATTTCTAATAAAATTCACTATGGAACATTTGGAAGTATCGGCTTTCTCCACCTATAACTGAAAGATCTAATCTCTGTGATTTAGAGGGAATGTTGACATATGTGGAATGCATGTGAGAAAGATCCAGAAACGCTTTTTCTAGACTATACCGGCACACTGCATTCAGAAGATGTCATACGTTGAAAGTTGAGCAAAACCGTTCTGTCTTTTCCAGAACGCACTAATCACGAGGAAGGGAAGAAGTACCTCGCTGATGTTTCACAAGCCACCACATACCAATAAGTTCCGGACTTTCGATAAGGACCACGTATACTGCTTTAAGAATGGCATCGTTAATACTCCACCCTCTCAGCAGATGCTTCAAACTATTCTAAGACGAAATTGGTGCCCAAAAGTAACTGGCTCACATCCAGAGAGTTTTCAGAGACAGTGGAGCGACTATAAAAAGAAACAGTCATCGATTAGCGAAAGGAGAGTACCTAGAAAGGAAGTAGAAGGGACAAATTCAGTGTTTCTATTTTTGTTCCATAGATGCAAAATCTAAGCAAAATTGCAAAGGATTGCCCGAAAAAGTTCAGGACTTAAAACTAGGCTTCAATTATGTAGGAAAAACTGGCAATACTGCAGAAGCGAGAAAAATCATCTTCTAACCTGACATTTGATGCAGCGCTAATTATTCAGAATGGATAAACGTGAAAACGAAAAAAGCGAAACGAAAGGTTTGTGGATGGTGAAGGAAGAATGCTTGAAGAACTCGGGACCTGTAGAACACACAATATACGAAGATGCTGCATATTATAGAACCAAATTAAAGAATACATCGAGAGCGAAATCTTTTAACGTTAAAAAATGCGAAAATATGTAATTCAATCGAACCAATGCATGAATAACGAACTGACATGAAACAAACCACCGGAACGAATTGGCGGAGCATATTCCACTATCGAGGTTCAGCCTTTCATAGTAAATATTGTACTTGATTGTACCTACATATACTGTATGATTAAGTATATCTTGCAGTGAGTTCGAGCGAAGCATGGTTCCAAATGTTGGATAGTAGGCGTATGATGAATTCAATATGCCTTGCCCTCGTAAAATGAATCAATTTTTCAAATTTTGACATGTAGCTGATTGAGTATTTAGCGTTGATCATAGTCCCATAAGAGAGGTTGCTTGATTTTGCGTACAGGCAGTTTGTCGGTCGAACTGTATCACTACCTCCGGTTGGCTGGACTTTATCTAGTGGTTTGTGTAATGGCCTTTAGTTGACGTACGTCTAAGACATCCAGCTCAATGCGAACTAGCTGTTGTGGAAAATGACATGTATATCAACCATTATGTTATCTTCCTTACTTTAAAAAGGGCCTATGAGATTCCGGCAAAAAGACGTCCGTCCAGTGATCACTCGATAGAAAAATTGATTTGTATGTGATTAAGCGATTTGTATTCTGTTATGTAATTTAGATATAAACTGAAGCAGTCCGTGTATTAGAGATAGTGAATTTACCTTCATCGACGACTAGTCGCAAATATTTAAATGAACTTTCTGTAATCCACAACATTTTCGTCCTTCGACTAAATGTGCGATTCTGCTTGCAGATTTGTTGTGGTTATGGCGATAGAAAATCGCTTGGAGCAGGAAGCCTTACGTCGTAAAGAACGCTTGGCTAAATTAAAAGAAATGGTGACATCATCTTCAGAACAGCCGTTGGACGAAACGAGTAACGAGGACAGTACGCCGAAATTGTATGTGTACCTCCATCGTTTCTAATTTTGATTTGTGTGCTCGTCTTTAGGCCTCACTTTCATAACTACACACCGACAAGCGAAGTTCTTAAAGAAAACGTCTTGCCAAGGGTCGAATCTGGAAATGGTACGTGTGTCGGCTTTTGATGAGTTTATTTAGCATTGATTTTTGAAGTACAACCATTTCAGTATATTTCAGTAAATTATGAGGCAGATTGCCTCTCTAGTGTGGCATCGTAGCTTGTATCTAAGTTTCATGCTATGAGTGAGGATGTGAACCGGTTACTTGGTCACTCAGTTCGTCTGTTTTTTCTCGACTAGTGGCTTGTAATGATCATCACCTCCGGCGGTTTGCGCTTGTGCGTCTCTCTGTTGATTATCACCTTAACACGTTTTCGTAAGGGCAAATCATGTCGTTTATGATGCAAGTTGCATTCTTAGCTATTCAAGGCCTTTGTTATAGGGCATCGGTTGTTGCATCGTGGAAGCGGAAACAAATGTTCTTGAACGGAGGCTTGTTTATCCTTGTCATCCATGTTGCATCCTGGCTTGATGATCGGCGATTGTCATTTGAGAGGCTCGCTGGCTCAACCAATTTGTCTATTACAGCCAACCTTTTCGATTCAATTTCCATGACCGCTTATCCTTTCTGGGCACGAATGCAGATGCATTTGGCAGTTTTCCAACGTTCCCGATCCTGTGCCACAGTCTCAGCTTCGGCAGAACACAACCGGAGTCTGGAGCAGACTCCTAACATATATTTGTACCAGGTTAATCTTGGCCTCCTCTGGGACTTCTGCCGGTCTGTTGGGCAAGAAATAGTTGTTTCGCCTTCCCTTCTGGTGGCATTCGTAGCACATACCCATACCATCGCAGCCCTGACTTCTTAATCTGAAAAGGCATCGCCTGTACACCAAGGCTCTCTTGGATTTCTATACTAAGACCATATTGAGGCGAGTACTTCCGTACGGCCATCCTCATTTTCCTAATTCCAACATCTACGGAAAAACTTATTTTAATCCTCACTGGGCAATGAGGCAGCCGCAACTGCGCGCAGTTCAACCATTTTTATTTTTCCTCTGTAGGTACAACTGGTTTCGTACCATAAAGACCCTGAGGTGAAAAGAAGGGCAGTCTAAGAGTCTTGAAGGTCAGGTCTGGACACCCTCTTACCAAAGATGATGACATTCTTCGGTGATAGAGGGAGTACTTTGAGGAACTGCGTAACCTCGAGCAATCGCAGGAAGACTCGCCTGTAAAGCAGCAGGGAACAGATATAAGATCTTTCTGTGTATGAAATCACACAAGCTGTGAAAAACTTGAAAAATGGCAAGACTACTAAAATCGATTAATCCTCACACCCTCAGAGACGTTTAAAGCTTTAAGCGAACAACGTTTCTTATGGCCAACACCTGTTTGTCAAGCTGTAGTGAAAACGGAGAAGGCACTAGTTGATAGGGAAACGGGCTTTGCAGTACCCCCATTCGAGAAGGAAGACCACAGGGAGTGTTCCATTTATCGAGGCATTACGGTATTGAACCTCGCCGGCAAAATCTATGCAGTGGTATCAGAAAGGAGGTGCCGCGGAATACTTTACTCTAAGATGCAAGAAAATAAGTGTATCTTCAGGTCAAGCTGAAGCGCCTCTGACCAAATTTTCGCATTGCGCCAGATTGTTGAGACTTCGTTGGAGTTCCCTCATCTGATTTACATGTGTGTTCTGTTGACCTTGAGGAAGCCTGTGGACGTGCCTTCAAAATATCGGATCGATGACCATTTGCTGTGAGCCATCCAGTTATTGTTATCTGTTTGATAGCAAGTGCTGCGTCGGATTAAATGACATTAAGTCAAGATCTTTTAGGTTGACGCTGGTCACTTACATGATTCATTCTGTCCGTCTTGTGTTTGTATGTACTTGGGTAGTATAGTCAAGCACCGAAAGGGCGATGAATTTATTAGCGTAGGAGATGTCTAGACGAAAACATGGCTGCTTGCAGACGACCTTTTCTTTACATCTTCCGAAACTGATGTCTAGAGCTCTGTGGAAAGGTCCGCAGGCCACTGCGACGTGACCGGTATCACTTGAAAGTGTCTAAGGTTGAAAAGCTAAGGATTGCTCGTTCGCCTGTCCGTTGCGCTGGTGATGAACGGAAATGCAGGAAACAGGTGGAAAAGCGTACGTATATCGGGGTCATGTTTACTGGTGATGGAAAATGGGATCAAGAGATCGTCCTGCGGATATAAATTGCCAGTGGCTTTCTCCATGAGCTTGCCTTAACTATTGTGACTCACCGAACCCATCCGATCAGGCACTGTCGGCTAGTTAGTAGTAAACAGCTTACTCTTGAAATTCTGAGCTAGTTCTGTTGGGAGCATTTCAAACCGGGATATTCTCCAGCTGGCAATAGATTGCTCGTATTTTGAAGGAAGAACTGCTGTTTCCTGTCTCTAATATCCGTTGGTGAATTTGTCTGAGTAGACTTTTGACCAAGGATTCGAAAACCTGAATTATATTATATTTGATTTCGTGGTCTGTGGCTGTCACCCTACCCAGAACGAGATATTGGCATTTTGAGTCCTGCAGAGATTTGGATGTTCGAGCCATCTTATGAAGTGATGCGCATTAATTGGTGTCATCGCTATTTAGGCTTTGCCCCATAGCGGAAATGTCTAAATTTACTGTCCGCTGTACTCGATGCAAATTATTGATTTTTTGCACTTTTTTTTGCTTCTGCGAAACATTAGTGCTAAACTTTTGAAAATCTGCCTAGAGAATACTACGAATGGAACATGAACTATATTCATGAACATATCTGTAGCTGTAATTCGCTTTTCTCTAACAACAGTCATTGGCAAGGCGCTAATTAAGTCCTTTCTTTACATGTGGCTTTTAATGCTGTAAACGAGCAGAGAATGG